ACAATAGCGCGTTCGTTCCCCACCGCAGACACCTGCGGTCCGGAATTTTGCGAATATCTCAGCTTTATAATAGTTATATTTCGCAAAATACCCTCCCTCTAAAAAAAATAGGTAGTAAATAAAGAGGTTAAGGTTATGAGTTTCCTCGGAGCAAATCATCAGGCTCGATGTTAACAGAAAGGCTCTCCGGCCCGAAATCTTCGAGAAAGGAAAGCGAATACTGTCCGAATAACGACGGATGCGTCACAGATGACTCAGTTCGTCCAAAATCTCTGCTATTATCTATGGAACAAAATGAAAGAACTCCTTAGAGCAGATTTTTACCGTTGACACGTCGGCTCGGCCACATCACACACGCGCGTGTCGGTCGCACTGCGTGGCAGATTGACGTGAATACGGTGCTGGTGGGTTTGTGGGTTCGGGCGCTCGTAGGACTTCACGTGGCTCCTCGTGGGGCGCTTGCCGACCTGTCTGTGTTGAGGTAGTAGGGACTTGTCCTCGTTAGTGCGAAAGTACTTGCTGTACATCCAAACTAGTCTTTATTGAGTTCGTTACTAGTTAGTTTAGGTAGTTAGGCCGCATTCGTCAAGTGCCCATTGTCAGTTTGGACTATAACTGGAACTACACGACCCTTCTGAACTGTCTAGAATCAACTCGTGCGTCTAGAATTTCCCCGGTCGCGTAGACTATTGATTTTCGTGTACTCATTAATCAAACTAGGTTTTTCATATCTGTAGCTCTGTGTACTCAGTTTCTTTATTTTCCTAGTAGATACCCGGTAACGAAAACGTTTCTAAGCTGTACTGTCTTCATTTGGTCCCCATGATATGATATGATACTACATACGTCTCATGTGCTTTGACCATGGTTAAAAAACAAGGGATAATACTTTGAGCGTTGATCAGTTTCTGAGGGATAAAAAAGGATAAAGCTGTCGGAGTTGATCAATCCCTGAGAGGTGCGTCATGCATTCAACTTCGTTAAGAATCGTTGAAGGTAACTGCACATCTGGCCTTCGCGGTGACTTGTAGTGGGTGGCCTAATGATCTATTGAGCCAGTGCTGCTATCCTCCCAGAAAAGTCTGGTGCCAATATGTCGACCCCGGAGGAATGGAAAGCTTGATGGGCCATAGGCGTCTGGGATCGATCTCGTATATATTGCAGGGCACCTCTAACCACCGAGTCAAACTCGTTCCTGGATCATGGATATGGTTGAAAATGTATCATCGTTATTCCTTGCTGGAACATACAGCTATGGCAGGACTTCTCTGTTTTAGATGTTATGTCTGTAAAGTACATTTTCAAAAACATATTGAAACACTGGCAGTCATGTGATAGCGTTCATTTCACTTCCATCTTTATCGCTCGAATTTCAATAAGTTACGATCGTCACAAAGTAGCACTTGGCATTAGAGTTTCGAGTCTGATTTCATAGATAATATCTCGACTTGAGAGTAAACTGTTGGGCGCGTGTGGTGCAGTGGTCGGAGGCGCTATACGACACACATGGGATCGATCCCGGAGTCCATGGCCCAGGTAGCCTTCCATCCTTCCGGGGCCCGCAAATTGCTGCCAGACTTGTCTCGTTGGATAGCAGCACTGGCTCCACACGTCTCCACTACAAATCATACATAGGCCATATATACATTCGATCGCCTTTAACGATGTCGAATGTCGAAGTGAAGTCGAATGCATGGCGCGTCCCTCAGGAATTGATCAGCGCCGAGAGCTTTATCCTGTTGTCCTTTTTTAAGAGTAAACTAATAAGGCATTTCCGAAACTCGTCGTGGTATCTCATGGGTGACCTAAAAGTTGTTAGTATCAGTTACTTTCTCTCTGTTTCTATTCATCAATCAATTAAACGGTCCATAACACCGATTGGTGAAGTCTGAGATGAAAAGAGATTTGAGGAACGTATTTTTTTTTACTTTTGAACCATTATCTTAGGTCAGACTTTTGCTAGAGTATCGGATACTCGAGGTACCCTTCCATATTGGACCTGAGCCCATGAGAGTAAAAGCTTCCCTCGGCTTGTTGACGAGAATGTGTGTTAGGACCACACTATCTAAAACTGTTTTCTTACTGGCAACGTTTCTTCAACTGCTTTCCAACTTTTGTCGTACACTCCCTTATCATGTCTGTTATCAACATCTTTTTCCCTATTTACATCAGAAAAGGTGGCTATGTCTCTCCTTTTACGTTCCAGTTTGTCCTTTTGGAAGTAGTTCTGAATGGTTATTAAACCAGTTTCGGCCAAGTTTTGCTACTTTTAGGGCCAATTCAACCATTGTTTTGCCTGTGTCATTAAAGATGCAGTCGTTGTTTATTGATCTTTTGGAGGTTTTCACCGTACCATTATTTTTTCACTCTCTTTTTCACTCACTATGCCTTTTACTCTGAGAAATTCCCACCCATTAAAAAGAATTTCCAGGCTTTGTAATTCCGTTTGGAATTGCGAACATCTTGAATTTGGCTCCCAGAATCAAGCTGTTGAATGTCAACATCTGTCCACGAATGCAATTCTCCAGCTTTTGCGAAGACTGTGGGGGATTCGCATGAACAAACAGTTGTCACAGCCCCACGTCATAAGGTGAGTGCCATGCTTAGGAGGTCATTCTTCATTGGTGGCCTCACAAAAACCATAGTGATCTCGTATTACGATTTACATTAAGCCTAGATAAAACCAACTATGTGTAACTTATCAATTCTCGCGACCGACTTTCTGTTAACCTTGGAATTGATCCAATAAGTCCTCATACTCTTGTTGAGCAAACTCGCGGTGTTATTTTACTCTTCATTAACGGGAAAGCTGACGTTTCAGCGGATTTCGCTTTTCATAGGGCTTAGAATGGTCAGTCAAGGCAGAATTTGACCATTTAAGGCTCTGAGGAAGGCGAAATCCGCCGAAACATCAGCTTTTCCGTCAATAAGTAATAAAGTAACACTTCGTGTTTGCTCAACAGGAGTACAAAGAATTATAACCTATTAGTTCTAGCTCTGTAATGGGAACCATCATTATTTTTTTCGTAATAATCTTACTAGAGGAAAGAGATTTTTGAAAATGGCAGAGTTTCAGAACAATAGTCACCAACGCCGTCGCTCGAATACAAAGGGCGAAGGAGACGGCGTGAACTCTTCGCGTAGTGGAAGTAGGACTAATAGTCACTCGGGCAATAAAGGTAACCCCACTACTGTTCACTAACGGAAAGAAGTGAATGGCGTTTTCGTAAACTTCGCTTTATTAACCCAATGAAATATTAATTAACGGGTTTTACTACTCGTTTTTCTTGACAGATTTGTTGTTGCAGTCCTCTTCAGCAAGAACATTTAAGATCGCAAACGCCACAAGGACTGGACAGAAAGGAAGAGTTTGAGTCAGGGTGCCAAAATCGATGGGGAGAACGGAAGTAATTCTCAGAAGGAGAAATATGGCATCGACCATCATAAGAGAACCAGAAGTTCAAATTGTAAGTGGCGTGTTACTAATTATTTCTACTATGCATAATCTTATTCACTTAGCCATTTATGAGTTAATTAACCTCGGTAGCGCTCAATAATGTTTCCTTGGGATTAATCATAGGAGTGGTATGGTATTTTTCCGGCCCACTTTGTGTTATTTTTATTACTATTTGTCCATTTAGATTGACACTTGTGTTTTTTATATTTGTGCGTTACAACGTCGAGTAGCTTTACGGTAGAGTTAGTTGACTTTCAAATTTCTGTTTTTGCCGAAGACGAGTTTTACATAGGATACTAATATCTATAATACCAATGTCTTCTTATGTACATTTGTTCTGTCCGTTGTATTATTAAGTATTGTAAAGAGTCTTTTATAAAGTGGATGCTTTTGAGTTGACATACTTGGATACTTGGATAGCCCGTCTTCATGGTTCTACGGGCCCCAGCATAACTTCCATTTTTTCGGGGTTTTGCTAGTTTAACCACTGTGGTTGACGTGGAGTTCCGCCGTCATCCTGGTGAAAGTCTGCCCCAGGTCGTCACCACCACAGGCAGTCGTCACCCTTGTGGATCAGAGGGATATTTGCCACCATACGAACTAGTCTGATACCAGGACGCTGGTGGATCCTAGAATTGGTTTGCTCCTAGCTGGGCTTCCTGATGCGAACCCTGGACTCCTTGTCAGCATGGGAGGCCTTTCTGGGGTGAATGCTCCCGCTGTACATCGTAGCCCAACAACCACCTTGCAGCCACGACGAGGCGGTAAACCATTGGGAGGTTTGAGTAGTCACAGGTGCAATAATCGGATTCCACGACTTACAATCCTTCTTGGAAAACGTATCATGTGTTCCCGTGTAGGGTGAAATTATAACATAAAGTCGACTTCTCGTTATGTCCAATTAATTTAGTTTGCCACATCTTTTGCTTGCTCTCTTGAAGTTCTTAAATAATGAGAGCAAGTTTATCCTTCTGTTACTGAACTGTTAGGATCTACTCAAAGTTTTTACCTTTTCCTAGAAAAGGTGATTCGCCTAAGTAAATTTTTTTATTTTACCCGACCCATCACGTCTAGCATGCTGTTCCTAGCACACCTTGCATTCGGTCCTTTTTCTTGCATCTACCATCCACTATAGTGATCCAGCTATTGCTTGTTTTTTCGCCAGCTGCTTGAGGATTTCCATTCGGTCATGAGTGTCGTCGCATGCTGGTCGAGCCGATTCTCCCTGTAAACCTGGGATATCCATGAGGAAATTAACTTTTCCCACATAAGTCTGTTACCAAATTCCCGATCCCAAAGTAATAACTGGTTTTGTGGGTCTCCTATGGTGCTGAACCAGTAGCGTGCTCGTGATGAGAGGCACCACTACTTCTGCACCATGCTTCCTCATCTAGGTAAACTCTGCCCTTCTTGAAATCGTTTACACAAAAGGGCATCTTGTTGCTGCCTCTTGTGAAAAAGTTAGTTTCATAAACTGTTTAAACCGCTGTTTTATCACGTTCCGCAGTTGGTTTCATTTGTAGCAAATGGCAAGCGTTGTGAAAGAGATTCCACGCGCACGAATTCAATGCTGAGTAATGGCGATGGCTTTGAATACAGTGATGAATGTTGGTTTCTTTAAGTTATTTTCCTTCTTGTTTCATTCTTCATATTCTCGGCAGAAGTCCTTTTAAGATGAGCTCGATGAACCGTTCAGCGATTCTGATGACGATGTGCGCACAAAACAACTGCAGAAGCCTAACCTTGTTATACCACGTGGAAGGATTAGGTAGAGTGTTATTCTAGAGAAAATAAGCTTATGAACAGTCTGTTCCAAGGAATCGCTATCTCCTTCTGTGTGATTTACATAAAATGCAGTGTAACTGTTCAAGGACTTTGTCGGGTACAGTGCCAATCGTTGGCTACTCTCCAAAATGGGGTGGACCGACTATGTGCTTAAGCTGTTTGCAGTTTTTCGATTTACCTGAACAAATGGACCGATTCGAAGAGTAAGTTTTATACCTGAAGTGCCATTTTCAGTAGCATAGTACTTTGTAGATCCCGATGTGTTTGTTAACTTAACTTTGTAGGCATCTTTTGAAAGAGCATAAAATCGTCGTCTCAGAGATGGGCCTTATTGTCGATCCTAAAAGGTAATCTAATAGTTTTAATTGAGTACTATCTGCTTTTACTCACTAAGTGTTCACCATAAAATATTCCACAAGAACAGGCTTTCTTTGCGTCGAAAGGTAATTGGTAGTGTTGAGGTACATTGAGCATTGGCGTCAACGTTTTGCCAAGGAAAGTGTGGATAAGATATTCGAACGCATAGAACCGAAAGAAGGAGATAAATTTTTTGGTATATTTTGCGCTTAACTGCGGTTCGCTGTGTTCCATTTAGTATATGTCAAGCATCGGTATTACAGGTGAAACAGATTATTACTACAATATGTCGGAATCATTGCCAGAAGACTATTCTGTTCGGCAACGCTTAGCTATGCGTCGTCTTGAAGAAGCCCTTTCTTGCCAACAGAGAGAACGGTGTGCTTGTTTTGGTGCACATTGATGCTTTGATATTTTCCTAAACTATTTGGGAACTGTTTTCTTGCAGCGAAGACACGAATTTTCAACAGCAGTGTATTTTTTGCCGCTACACAGCTCGTGGAAATCGTTCAAAAATCATCCACCACCTCTATATGATCCATCACCTGAATCTTGGTTCACCTGATAACCTGGTTTTCGTTACGGAATACATTGAACACCTTAAGGAAAAGCTGCAGGTTTGATGGTAGATTAGGAAAATTGTTTGGTTATTTGACCTTCGTTTCTCTTTAGTTTTCACATTGTGACATAGTGGTTTAGAGAAATGAATGCATTTATTGTGAAAAAATATTCGGTGATCGCAACACCCTTATGGATCATATGCGTAAGAGAAATCACAGAGAGGTAGGAAGAGGAATTAGTATTAATTGTGAACCATTACCATATTTCTGTCTTCTTGCTGCTTCGAGAACGTTTTGAACTGCTAAGTTTAGGTCAACCCTAAGAATCACTACTACGACAAGTTCTACATCATCAATTATCTCGAACTTGGCAAACGTTGGCTGGATGTCCTAGCAGAAGACTTTGAGGATACCATGCCAACTTTCGTAGATTCTGAAGAAGAAGAGGAGGAGTGAGTTAATTTAGAATGCTGAGTCTTACTTGATATTTGATACTTGAACGCCCCGTTCTCACTGGTTGCGTGAGTCCCAGCACAATCACCACTTTTCATAGATTTGCTGGCCAAGCCATTGTGGTTCCCTGGAATCCTGAGGTCAGCCTGGACAAAGTCTGCTTCAGGTTTTCACCACCACAAGCAGTAGCAGCTCTTGTGGATCGGTGGGAAATTTGCCACCATGCGACTTTGATACCAGGACAGTGGTCGATCCTGGTATTGGTTTACTCCTATCTAGGCTTCCTTATGGAAATGCCGGGCTCTCAGCTTGCGAGACCCTGCCGAGGGACGAATCTCACGCTGTACATGTACATCGCAGTCTGGCACCCAGGAACACCTCCCAGCCACGATGAGGTGGTAAACCGTTGGGAGGATAGTGCTGAATGCTGGTTTTGATTCCAACAACATGTTAAATAGGCACGCATTGCGCATACTTAGAGGTACATTGCAATACCAACGTGGTCGCTGGTTCGATCCCGCTCCCCGAGCTCACTAAGTTTTCCATTTTTCCGGGATTGTGATCAAATTGTTACAAGAATTGTCTGGAAGGATAGCAGCATTGACTTGTTGCATCGGTTAGGTCACTTAAAGTCATTGTGTAGTCACCTCTAACAATGCTCGATTAAGTAGAATGGATTGCACATCTCTCAGGAACCTATTCATGCCGATATCTTTCTCGTTCATCCATTTATCAATGTCATGGCTTTTCCCGCCAATTGCTTGCAAGGAGTTTTGCCCATTTTCAACGTCGTTAAAGTGCCTCTTCTACGTATGTTCTGAGCATTTTCAGCAACTCATGGTGCGAATGGCACGAGGATAATGTGGACGCAGACGAAATAAGAGTTGTTTGCCTTCTTTGTCACGAGAGCGATGACACTGCTGAGGGTCTTCTTGCTCATATGAAGGTCTAACTAGCGTTCCTTTTTTTGCACTTCGAATGCATTTTTATATCGACCACAAGAAACCTTTATTCTTTTCCTGTTTTTTTCACCACTGCGTTTTCCACCGGCAGTTTGAAATTCGGAGGTTTCAGTCCATGAGTGTTATTTTCAGGAGAAGCACGAGTTCGATCTCGTGAAACTTATAGATGAAAACCATTTAGACGTTTACCAACGCATGAAGTTGATCAATTACATAAGAAAACAGGTTTGTGAATTAAATGCTTTGCGTGACCACATGTTGATCTGCTTATTCTTGCGTATTTATAGAATTTCAAGCCTGTTTGTTTTGTTTGCCAACGAAACGATATAGAAAACACTCAAGAGCTGGCCAAACATCTTCAAGAACGTGAAAGACCCATTAAGGTACTAGTGTTGTCAACGTAGTGCGTACCTTCTACTTTAACTCACCCTTACTGCTCATTTAGAGTCTTCCTGATAAGTCGCTTTGGGATACAGAAGAGTGTTTGGTACCAGTTTTTGGTAACGACAATTTCCTTTGGAGACTTGAATCGTTGCTAGAATCTCGCGAAGCTGACAGTGACAAAGAAGAACAAACTTGTCGAGAAAGTGGGAAAATTTATGCCGCATTTGTTGCTAAGAGTCAGAAAAATACTGTTGAGGGGGTAAGGTTTCTTATAAAATTTAAAAAAGAATGTATAAAAAAGAAAAGCTAGTACTCTCTCAGGTTATTGCCGAAGATTTACCAGATCTTCACGATCTTAAGGATGTGCTTCAAGAACTGCTTTGATGTGGTCTTCTTCGTGGATGGTATTCTTCGAGTCTACTCTCTTCCACACCACTTCAGCGCTATTCGTAGCATCTTTCCTGCTTACTAATCTTTGATTTGCTTTTTGTACAGTCTTATACTTTCACGTTGGTAAATGGTAACTTAGATTTTACTTCCTTAGAAACGCTTTATATCAATGCGTAGTTTATTGTAGCCGTTGAACTGTTTGTTAGAATCTTATGCGCTTTATATTTTCTGGGTACGGCATCACTCCTGTATGTGGTCAGCTGTTTCATTATGTTTGGATCATCTGAGCAGCTATGTTTAGTACAAATCGAAAAACCGCTCTTTTGAAACGTCCCATTTCACTGCTTCATCTTGGTACATTATAGGTTATACCGGGGAACACCAAGGAATGACATCCCGTTGTTAGGCCTTCCATGAAAACGTTATCTTCTCACCCTTATTTTGGTATTCACGGTTTTATATCATTAGGAAATGTTCCACGTTTTGTAATATTCGTTTATTCAGCGTAACCTACCTACATTTTCTTCCTATATATGCCTTGCCCTCATGGTATTTTCTACTATCCTCTTCTGTCTCGCTATTTCATACACGTAGTTATTTCCTCACCATCGTTTTGTTTTATTACCCATAGAAATGTTCGACGATAAGCACTTTGTCGTTGATTGGTCTTAGGGGGAAAGTCAAAGGTCGAACTGTATTTCATAGTAAAATCGAGTATAGCTTACGTTCCGGACTTATTGTCAGTTTATAGTTTTTACGTTGTTTAAACATGGATGATGTTTAAAGTTTATCACAAAATCTCTTCACATGATATTTTGGGTAATGACAGCCTTTTTATTTCATGAAATATTCGGCTTAACGTAAACATCGATGAGGTGCTAGAAACTTTTGGGTCTAGGTAATGTCGGCGTTTTGCGAAATAGTAAAGATCGGTTTCATGCGACGAGCATCACTACTGCTGTCTAGTTTTGGTTGTGGTTATTGTAACCTGCTTAGAATCGCTTCGAAAGGTTTGGAGTGAATTTTTTCTTTGTGAGTTCAGTGCGCACTGTGGCGAACTAATCGCAGCGTATCCATTTTTACGTGCATTGTTATGGTATTATTGAATTAGTGTTGCCAATGGACCTCGGAGAGGTGTACCGCCTCATGATGGTTGGCAGGTGTTCATGAGTGTTGGACCGCGATACACGAAGGAGAGATCCATCCCCCGGCAGCGTTTCCATCAGGAAGCCCAGCTAAGAGTAAACTAAAAACGGGACGCACCACCGTCCTAGTATCAAACTAGTCGCATGGTGGCAAGTAGCAGTCCGTTCCGCGAGACCGAGGTCTGCCTGTGGTGGTGACGACCCGGGGCAGAGTTTGGCTAGGCTAACCTCGGGACTCGAAGGAACCACAGTGGCTAAACCAGCAAAACTCCTAAACAATGGGAATTTTTCTGAGCATCGCGAATCCAGTAGAAACGTTCCATCCAAATCCGGGTACAAGTGTCGCTAATTGCGCATTTTTAGATCGCGAACAGAGCAAAGTTTATTGTACTTAGTGTTTGGTAGAACGACTACGAGTTTTACAAAGTTCAGGCGAAAGGCACTGTCCTGATTTTTAACGTATATCTTGCTGTTAAATGCAACTAGGTTTTAATATCAGGGGGTCTCGTCTTTTGCTTTGCTAGCAGAATCCGAGCCTTACAAACGGTAGCATTGGTACACACTTTGGTCCAAATGCGTATATGCTCAATCACACTGCTAGCACAAAACATATGACTTTTTAACAGTTATTCTGACTTCTTAATGAATTCGTACTAAGAGACTAGATGGATTTTCACTCTTATCCATGGAATCTGTTTCAAAGAGAAAAGCCATTGAAAAACTGGGTTTTTTAAAGGAGGACACGATAGTGTCTGATAACGATTCGTTGATATTTTTGGTTGGCGGTGAATAAAAAGGATAGAGCTCTCGGCGTTGATCAATCCCTGACGGATGCGCCATGCATTCGACTTCATTAAGCATCGTTGGAGGTGACTGAGTGGAAATCTGGCCTTTACAGTGACTCGCAGTAGCCTATCGCAGTGTCGAGCCTATGCTGCTTTCCTCCAGACAAGTCTAGTACCAATTTTCCGACCCCGGAGTGTTGGAGGGTTGGGTGAGCCTAAGGCGCGAGGTCCGATCCCATGTGTATTGCAGGGCGACTTCGATCACTACGCTACACGCATGCTATGGACATACATTTTGATCTCAAAGTGCATCGGAGCGAAAATATTAAGTCCAACGTAAAATGCTCTCCTTTAGTGCAGTGTTTCTAGAGCTCTTCTATAGCCTTGTCAAACCCCTAAACTTTCAAAATATTGAAATCGACTTGTGGGTAAGTCAGCCTTCTAACTAATCTGTTAGCACATAATTCGCTATACAGATTCTTTGACAACGGATTTTTCTTGATCACAGGGGTAGTTTAGTTGATGAGAACTTCAAACTGTACAGACGATCTTTTATGCACGTTCTTCAGCAACATGTATAGTCTTCGTAAAGTTGTTGTATTTAGGATTTGTTTAAGAATAAAATTGTTCGAAAATTAAATATGTCTTCGATGTTTTTCTTCAATAAGCAAACACGAGGTTGTTATTACATGTTAAGTATGTCTTCGTTTTAAATTTTCAACGAAAGATCCCTGATAGATGCGCAATGCGTTCGGCTTCATTAAACATCCTCAGAGCTTCGTCAGAATGCGTATCTGATCTATATAATAGCTCGCTGTGGTCTGGCAACGTATTGAGTCGGTGCTGCTATCCTTCCAAACAAGTCTGGTGCTAATGTACTGACCCCAAATAGATGGAAGGCTTGATGAGCCGGGGTCGATCTCATGTGTATTGCAGGGCGCCTCCAACTACGCCGCTGCGCACGTCCCTTAGTACTCCAAACTTTTATGTGAAAGGAGTCTGTGACAAACAGTTGACGGATTCTAAAACTCACGGCACCATTAGTAGGCTCTTAACGGGAACTTAGAGCAACGTGAAAGGATACGAGAAAACATGCGAATATTACGTCTAACACCCGAAATCTCTTGACTTCAGTGAATGTAGTGCGAAAGTAATGGCGGCTGTCATAACAGAATAGATTTAGAAGGGCCATAGGTGAATCTAGTCGATTGAAGAAAAATCTAGTGAAATCTACTATGTATATATATATATACATATATATACATGTGTATGGATTTATATACATCTGTCTGTGAATACAAACACGTACGTATGCACAGTATATATATATATATATATATATATATATATATATATATATATATAGCGTATATATATCTACTATGTATGAATATATATATGCATAGATATATACATATATATATGTATATATGTATACATATCTATGTACTTGCTTGAATACACTCACACGCGTATACACAGCATATATTTATATATATATAACGTATATATATGAAAAATTTTGAATCTTTTGTTGAAGAAAGATGCATTCTTGTTGTCACCATGCGGTTGTTTGCTGACAAAACCAGACGAACGAGGAAGAAGTTCGTTGAGCCAGTAGTTGTTAAGCAAACAAGAAGTGCCAAGCCCGTGGTGGATGTCTACAGTGACATGACGGCCAAGTAGGTTTTTTCGTGTTTTACGCAAGAAAATCGGGTGTTTTGTGTAGTATTTTTTTCTTGTTATCTTTTGTTTACTATTACCTTTTCCAGAGAGATATCGGAAGCAGTGGGCGGGGATTTGGATTCGGTCGTTGATGTGCTTGTTAATATGGACCAACTAAATTTTGATTTAGTATCGGAAGATAAACCGCTTGATAAAGAGCATATTTTGAAGGTATCAGCCTTTCCTCGTTGTTTCGCTATAATGTTCAAAAAGAGACTTATCTTCAGCAGGGTAACATAGGCTGAAAAGTGGTTCAACAGCTCCATCGGGGAACCTGTCTAAAATAAGATTAATGCCGACAATTTCGGGCGTAGCGAAGAGATCTGCAAGCCATAAAGTCTTCTTAGGACCAAAGGTCTGCAGAAGTGACCTATATAGGTTTAGGGAACGGATTCAAGTGAAATATTTCTACTCAACCAGAAAAATGTGGAGAAATCTTATTCCGGTCTTACAAAATCACCTAGGCAGTTGCGTTCTTCGATAAGAAGCCTCGACTGGTCCAACGTGTACAAAAGAAAACTGCTAGCGAGCTTGAAGACGTGGTACCCCAGTTAGTTTTAATGTCGTTTCTGGCGAAATATGTTAAAAGACATGTTTAGGAATATCTCGACATTGTTCATGCATTGATGTCATGTCGAAATCAACCAAGTTATTTTGTCTCTTGTCGCAATTTCTCTAAATGTTGTGCTATTCAGGAAACAAGCTAACGTTCGTATATAGCTAATCTTATAGAGCTCCACCTGATCCATCCGAGTGTGTGAAACGACCACCAGTTGTGACTATTATGGGTCATGTGGATCATGGTAAAACAACTTTGTTAGATGCTCTGCGAAACAGTCAGATCGTCGCCTCGGAGTTTGGTGGAATTACTCAACACATCGGAGCGTTCTCAGGTAAGCAGATCTTGTGAGGATTTCCTTCGATACGAAGTATGGAGATGTTCACTTCGTTTCTAGATAGTGTTGCTCAGAACAAACTTGTAAATCTTCCTCGTAAAAAATTTGGTAATTACCTTGATCTCTTAGTAGGAGATTGAAAGCTAGACCCACTATTTATCGTTGTAGTTGATCTCGGCGGTCGGCGTGTAACGTTTCTCGATACTCCTGGCCATGCAGCGTTTGCAGCAATGAGAGCTCGAGGAGCGAAAGGTGCAGATATCATTGTCTTGGTAGTTGCCGCTGATGATGGTGTGAAAGAGCAAACGGTACAGAGCATCAAGTTAGTTAGTCGTTTAGCATTTAATTTAATAAGAATTCCGACTGAAGCATCAGCTTTACTTGGTTCAATGCGGATTTGGGCTCTCCTGTTCAATCGCGTTAGCGGATGTTTGCTGATGGTACTGGTAGATTGAAAACTAGCTGAGAGACAGACGAAACAAAGGACCCGCACGGTGTTGTGGTGAACGCGTTAGCCCCCAGAAAGGCAATAACGGGTTCGTTCCCCACCACTGACACCTCCGGTCTGGAGGTTTTTTTAAAAAGTATCTCAGCGTAATTATGGTTTGGAATTTATTTTAGATTTTCCACTCCACTAAGTGATTGAAATGTCGTATATTTTTTGAAATTGTGACGTGACCAATCTATATGGAAGCAATTGCAGTCAAAAACATGCTTTCGACAGCGTATTGTCAGTGTTGACGTTTTGGATAGTAGATGTTCCTTTCTTTTTAGATCCGATAATCTGGATTTTATAACTGCCTTTTGATTGAAGATTGTTTGTTCTTACAGAGATTATCGTGATGTCTTGAAAAATATTCCTTTCTTGGTAATTCTAGTAAGGGAGGTAAAGGTGAATGTATTTCATAGTGCAGCTTCGAAATCACCTTTTGGGAACCATGAAGACGTTGTCTCTAGTGCTACAGAATCGGTCGTCTCTGATTATTAGTATTGGTCGTTATTGCTGCAGTACCTCGCTTTATCCCCTTATTCCAGAGAAATTCGTTCTTGTTGTCAGTCGGCGCCTTTATTCTGGTGTCGAATGTGATCGAGGGTAACTCTCCATTAAATCTATACGAATGTGAGAACGTTCCTGGGTCTTCACCACAGACATTTGCGCTGTTTTGTTGGTCGAATGGTGCTCTTGGAAGGCTCGAACGAAAGACAAAGAGAGTAAATTTAAGTAGATGTCATGGCTTAGTTTTCGTCTTTCTTCCCAGTTATCTTAGTTGGGCACAAATCATTGCTAAAATAGCATTTATAAAACTGTATAGCAAGTTATAAGAAATGTATGGGTTATATGGGTTATAAGAAATATGTAGGACGCAAGTGAAAATTTTGGTTAAAAAAAACGTTGGATCTTCTAAAATCGGTCTTTTCAATCTAAGTTTTCTAGTAGGTTTAAACTGTGAGTACTGAGAGGAAGAATATCCTCTTTGATCGTTATCGATTGATCTGACCCTTGTGTTCTTCAGATTCGCGCAATCTGCAGGTGTACCGATCGTTGTTGCCCTCAATAAGTGTGATAAACCGACTGCAGATCCGGTTCGTTCCTCATGTTTAAGTGGTCTGTTACCAGTTCTCTTCAGTTAGAATTCTGAATTAGTTCTAACCTAATGGGTGATTTGAAACTTAGTACACTACTGTGGCTAATATGGGCGCTTGTGGCGCAGTGGTTGGAAGCGCCTTTGTGACACACAAGTGGAATCGATCCCCGTGTCCCAGACCCACCAAGCCTTCTATCACTCCAGGGTCGGCAAATTGGTGCCAGATTTCTATGGGAAGATAGCAGCACTGGCTCGATACATCGGGAGGACACCGCGAGTCATTGTAAAGGCCAGATATGCATTCAATCCCTCCAACCATGCTTAGTGAAGTCGAACGCATGGCACATCTCTAAGTGGTTGATCAAGGCCGAGAGCTTTATCCTTTATTCTTTTACTATGGCTATTCCTTATTCAGATGAGAGCCAAAAGATCTCTATTGGAACACAATGTAGTTGTCGAAGAAATGAGTGGGAATGTTCAATGTGTCGAAGTGTCCGCCCTACATTCCAAGAATTTAATGGCCCTTCAGGTAACCACTGCGTATATTTTTCACTGCAAATCCTTTCGTTCTGCTTCGTTTATCGATGTGTATAAATCAGGAAGCATTACTACTGCAAGCTGATATAATGGGATTGAAAGCCACCCCTAAAGGTCTTATGGAAGGTGTTGTGATCGAATCGTCAGTGATACATGGTGAGCTGAGATTTTAACATGAAATAAAAGTTCTACCACAGTGATGCTGAAATGTTTGCAAAACTCCGGGCCGCAGGTGTTTGCGGTGGGATTGAACACGCTATCACCTTTTCCAGGGGGGTAGCGCGTTCACCACCACACCATGTGGGTGTTTCGTCTCACCTATCCCTCAACTAGTTTCCTATCGACCAGTGCCATCAGCAGTCATCCGTTAACTGGAGTGATCTGGGAGCCCAAATCGGCAATGAATCCAGTTAGGCTGAGGCTGTAGTCGAAATCACAATGTTAACTTCTTATTTACTGTCTATTGCAATTTTTCACAGCAGGGTATTATGTGCGATATAACCACAATGGTGCTGAGATATTTCCAAAACGCGGGGCCGCAGGTTTCTGCTGTGGGGAACTAACGCGCTGTTACGCTTTCCAGGAGCTAACGCATTCGCCACCACACCATGCGGGTCTTTCGTTATGCCTGTGCCTTAGGTAATTTTCTATGTACCTGTGCCATTACCAAATATCTCAGGATTATTGTACTTGTATTTCACATAGTACCCTGCCGTGAAGAATGATAGTAGGCAGCAAATAAAGAGTCAATGTTAAGAAATCTGCATTTGGTTTTTTTCACAGACCTTCATAGCATTTACCTTACTGTGTCCTTCTTTCCCTTTTCAGAGATTTTCTTAACTCGATCCTGTAACTTGCTTAAAGCTCTTCGCTGTTTATTTTTCATGCTCTTTTTGCGTTGTTAACTATTTTTTAAGGACATTTGAACAGGTGGGAATTTACCTTCTTGTTCTTGCAGTATCCACATTTTTTTTCCTTTTTCGCCCTTGATAATGTAACTTCAACTTATTTGTCCAGAGCAAGTTAATAAATAAGGAGGAAGAAGTTTTCCAGGTATTGGTAAGGTTTGCACAGTGGTAGTGACACGAGGCACGTTGCGTAAGAACGCGATACTTGTGGGAGGTCGAGCATGGTGTCGGGTGCGTACGATGACAAATGAGAACGAGCAGCATTTGCTGGAAGCGGGACCAAGTACTCCTGTTAGAGTTAGTGTTTCGTACACTTGCTTCGTTTCCTCCTTACTGTTGATCGAGCCTTTTTAGTAACAGTTACTGGATCATGCAGATATCCTTGCCGGTTTTCGCGGCGGAGCTTTGAATTTAGATATGTTAATCAATAATCAGTGTTTTGTCTTGGTTAAATGCTGGCAAATCCTTTTATTTTTTATCAATACGTTTGTCATATGTCTTTAACTTTATGCTTGGTACCGAATTTCACTTGAATGTTGCATCGTTTTTTCTTTAAGAAGTGATTTCTATGCTTTGAATAGCAATGATATAAATCAGATGACTGTCCACTTTTTGACTTTCTCAAACTGTTTTAAGTCTTCAAGAGCCATATAATTCGTAATACTTTTGTGCATTAACATTTCTGGGCTGTTTGTATGATTTGAAAGGTGAAATCATTCAGCGTTGGTTAATCACTGAGGGATCCGCTTGAATTCGATTCAATTAAGCATGATAGAGATGGCTGAATGCATACTTAGCCCATGCAATGATTTTTTTGGGTTCTGCCGATATATAATGTTCATGTCCCATCATACCAGAGTTCCTCTGGTGCTAGTTTTCTAACGAAGTGGACAAGGAGGGTATTGCCCGGGGCACTGAACAGACGGAAGCGCGGAAGCGTTGGCGGAATTGATTAGCATGGGGGTGTGGGGTCGAATCAACGGCCATCACGGGCCACATCAAACTGCTGCGATCGGCACACCCGGTGTAATAGTTCACAGAGAACAATCTATAATGATTTTGTTAAACCTGGTCTTCTGGTAAACATTGTCCACTCTATTCTCGGTATTCCCATTATTTGCTCTTAACTGGAAACAACGAAGAATCTGTGCTCGGTTCTTTGTGATATTTTTACAAACGCTCGTTTGAAGCTCATTTTATGCAGTTTAAGCTTATGAAGAAGCGCTACCGTTCGGATTGGATTATTCTTTACCGAATTAATCCAGCGTTTTTTAGGTCGTAGTTTGTGAATATTTCAGTGATCGTGAAGTTTCGTAATCTTTCCTAGAGTTTTGATTTTTTTAAAAGTAACTTAGAGCATTATTTTTTTAGAGTTTTTAGAGTAAGTTAGTAGTATGTGAGTTTTAGAGTAACTTAGTTCTTCAGAGTGGGTTTTTTAGAGTTTGAATAGGTTATTACAGATTTCTGGATGGAAGGAAGATATTCCTACGCCGGGCGATGAAATCCTCGAAGTCCATTCTGTGGATCATGCTCAGCGAGCCGTTAAATTTCGCGCTAAGAAAGAAATGTTAGAAAAGGCAGAAAAGGACTGGGTATGTTTGCGTCTCCATGTCATCATGCTGTTCTTTCACTTGGAGCACTATTTTCATGGTTTTCCGTAATAATTGTATTATTTACAATCACATTATTACTAATGTTATTATTATTATTGTTATCTTTGTTGTTATCATTATTATTATTTTTTGTTATTATTATTATTATTATTACTACTACCATTATTATAGTACTTGTGATTGCAGTTATGATAATCATGCATTTATTTCTTTAGAAAGATGTTGAAAGACGGCGAATGGAGGACCGTGAAGAGTACATGGCCAACCGTCAAAAATTACTAGATAAGGTCTGTTTTTATATTCAACCGCATCACTTTGGTTTCTCCTTGGTATCAATGTGGTTTTGTCAAAGGGGTTTCGATATGGATCAACGTTAAGACGAGTCGTCCACAAAGAAAAGAGGTTCGAAAAAGCTGTGGATGATGGATTTCCAAAGTTGCGCATACTGGTAAGCGTAGGTTAGATGAAACGCTGGTTTTATTTTATACAGCGAGTTTTTGATGTTCCTGTAAGGTTAAATTTCATAGTGGTTTTTTTCTTTGATTCCATGTTTTCCTCCCAACGGTTTACCACCTTATCGTGGCTGCATGGTGTTCCTAGGTGTCGGGCTGCGACGTACAGCAAGGGATTCATCCTCTTGGCAGTCTCCCAAGCTGTGAAGGAGTCCGGCGTATCCATCAGGATGCTCAGCGAAGAGTAAACCCTTGCCATGATCCGTCACCGTCCCGGTGCCAAATTATTCGCATGGTAGCAGATCTCTCTCTGATCCACTAGAGAGGCGACTGCCTGTGCTGGTGACGACCTGGAATAGACTTTGGCAAGGCTGACCTCGGGACTCTAGGAAACTACAATGGCTAAGCTAGCCAAATTCCGAAAAAGTGGAGATTATGTTGAGGCCCGCGCAACCAGTGAGGACGGGTCATCCAAGTAGGTAGTATTCCACGTTTGTGCTAAGGTTCTTTCTAAATGTATAATTTCAATCCATAGATTGTGTTATGAAAGGTTATTGTGTAACTGAAAAAGTACCTATTGTCTGAGGTCAACCTTAGCAAAGTCGTGATTTATGGGCGGCATGAGAATGGAAGTTCTTGTCATAACTTCAGTTCTCTTTTATCGATTAACTATCGTATTTTTAGCTTCGTTGTGACGTAGAAGGAACATTGGAGGCAATTTTAAATATCACGGAAACTTATACCAGTAAGAAGTGCAAGTTTCAAATCGTCGATTTCGGTATAGGTCCGCCAAGTAATACCGATGTAGAAATAGCAAAAGAGACAAGAGGTTGAAGAGTGTTGGTTGCCATTTGTGTGACATCTCGTAGTTCTTCAGTTTTGGGTTTCATTGGTTATTTTCAGCAATAATATATCTTTTCAATGTGCAACCTATTTCTGCCGTCCGAAACCAAGCCGATCAAGAAGGCGTTCGGATAGAGCATTTCAATGTCATTTATCATCTTGTCGATGCCCTTAGGAATGAGCTATCCCAAAGGTTGCCAATGTTGACAGAGATGGAACTTGTTGGAGAAGGACATGTGCTCAAGGTGGGGCAATCTAATGCTTAAGGTGTTTTTCATTCAAACTCCTTATAAGAAGTTTTATTTGGAAAATGTCCAATCACTAGAAGCGGAAAAGACTTGCCACCCATTTGAAAATGAAAAAAAATGAAAATTCCAAGATTTTTCTTTTTTGAATCATTAAGTGATTCGATGTTATATATACCTAGCATTGAACTGGAAATCGAACTTTTATTGATCACCAGGACTTTTCCATCGACATTGACCAGTTGGTCAAAAGACACTGCATTAGAAACGGTAGACCTGAGCTATTCAATCGACACTAAACGCTTCTTACCACACCGCTTGTATTGTAAAAACTGTTTAAGTAAATTTGTGTGCAGATTTCGTAATCGATATAATCAAGGACTCTTCTTAATATAAATCGCTTTATTTCTAACTCTATAAAAAAGCTTAGGAGAGGGCAGCCATTACATATCTTTTTCACCTCATTTCCATTCGATTTCTCGGTTATCGCAGAATTCTGGGGAGAGTTGACTTGACCGAGTTAGGAAATATACCCCTGATTGTTAACAAGTCAATAAAGAGTGAGTTGGGCTTTACAAACTTCTTAAAATCTAAAGAAAAATTGGTGACACGACGATTACAAGTATATTTCTCTATTGCTGCCATACTAATGCATTAGAGGGAAGGTAATGCAATTGAAGTGATGCCAATTATCACGAGCCCGTTTTGATTCGACCACGTATTGGGTTACCAAGCTTCCCATCACTGCAAAGTTGGGAAATTGATACTAGATTTGTCTGACAAAGTTCAACCTCTCCAACACAACTAGAACGCTTTAGTCAGGGTCAAGCAGTAGCCGAACCCACGCATGAAAAGTTGATGATGGATGCGACGAAACAACTCGAATACAAAAAGTTTCGGGATCCCTACAGTAGATGTGAAGATGGGTCGTGTAAAAGGAACAGAATAATGTTTCAGATTTATGTGTACCATGCCATAGTAATTTTTGTCGCTGTTCTTACTATCCCGACTAAATACATCAGTAGTGTTTTGAACATGATAATGAACGTAGTAAATTACTCGAGTGAGTAATCTATGGGTCCACCTAGGTCTACCATTTGAAAAATGCAACTTCTTGGAAAATTAATCCATGGAGGAGCCCGTTGTCATGGATTTCCTAATGATTTGTTCTGTTTTGCTTAGTGTCAATTCAAAAGATTCACTAGTGTGAACTAAATGACAAATTAGGGCTTTCATTTTTCACATTATAAGCACTCCTGCCTTTGTAGTGCTATGGTGATAAAATGTTTTCGTTTGAACTCATGCTTTATTCTCACATCATCAAAATAACTCCCACTCTTTTCCATCATTGCCATCAATTAAGCAATTATATTCTTTTGAAAAACTGCATATCTCTGACGATGTCTAGTGGTATCCAAGTTAGTTTGGCTTGCGCTGAGATTGTCAAACTAACTGTGTTTTGAAGCGTGTTGATTTGATGTATAGAATCTCTTGGCGTATTAATGACAAGCCCTAAATTTCGGTTCCTCCTACACCATGAAAGGGCGCGTGCGACGCAGTGGTCGGAGGTCCCTCCAACACAAGTGGAATCGATCCCCGCGCCCTTGGCTTACTAAGTGTTTGGGAGGATAGCAGCACTGGCTGGATACATCGGTAGGCCACCGCGAGTCATTGTAATGGCCAGATATACATTTAATCACATCAAACGATACTTAATGAAGTCAAATGCATGGCGCATCCCTCAGGGATTGATCAACGCCGAGAACTTTATCCTTTATCCTACACCATGGAACAGTGCATGGTTTTTCGCCGATTGCAGAGAGCATTGAAATCAACGCACGTTCTTCACTCTGCCGCCCATTTCCAGAAAAACATGCATAACTTACCTTCCACACACCTGGAACTCCGGCTATTCGGAATATCTTAGCAACCTCCTTAACAGCAATATTCTTAGTACCTAAATGAACAGACTCGGTAGGAAGCTTTTTCCCTTTCTTTTCTTGAAGCACTAAGTGTAGAAAATAGCTTTTCTTGGATCATAATTGAGAGTATTTGTCCTGAAGAAGAAGTTTATAGGATGAGGAAAGGTTAAGAGAAATTGTTCGACAAAAGACACCACAGAAAAAAAATACATTGGAATCAACATGCATTATCGTGAATGTATTAATGTATTCCAGCTATGCCTAATTTTGCATGACATTCGCTTGGGATTATGCCAACGTTCTCCCAATTTGCAGTGTGCATTAAAATACTCAAAGATTTTTCGTGTCTACTTATTCTTGTAATGAAAAGAAATTCAGTTGTTCCTTCTGCATACTCTGAAGTTCTAGAGGCGATGATTCATTGAAGTTAGTTCCAACCTTGGTTTGGTTACTGAAGCATTTCTGACATAGGAAGTCTTTGAGTGGCTTGAAGGAGTGGCAGTCGGTAGGCTAAAGGTTTCGCCAGTTTGGTGGATGAAGCAGAATTTCATAGCATAGCTCGTTCAACTTCCCATAGTTGGTGGTGCTACATATGGGCACGTGTTTTCGCAGAGCAGAGCGTGTTTAATGTACTTCTGTCGCCCAGTGCGGATCGTAGCCGTTGAAGTTTCTAGCGCATTTCATCGATTTTCTGTATGTACTACGCCCTAATCGTTTCGGCCTGGTTCAAAAAGGTGTCATGGATTGAACCAGCAGCGAAGCACCAAATGAGCAGCTTAACATTATTTTGGTGTCATTTTGACTTTGAAGTGCTGCGGAGCTTCATTGCGGTCGTACCATAGAGTCGATCTTCTCCAGTTATCACAGAGAATCCATTTCTCGTACAATGTCGCAATACAATTGATAAATTGGCCATTCTGATTGCGCAGAAGAAGCGCCGGCGACACATCAAGAAGGCGATTCCTTGGTTGGGTTGTTATTTCAGTTCGTGCGGCAGTCGAACTGATTTCACTTCTCAGCCTTCCTCGGATGCTGCGAAGCAATGCATCCGCCTAGATCAAGTTCTTTTCCAAGTCCTCGAACAGTTGTACGTGTATTTGTTGCCACCAAAGGCATCAGTTCATCGTCATTAATAGGCGAACGTCGGCGACCTTTCACAACTTCAACAACGAATAAGCCACGACGGAATTTCTCAGACCAGCGTGTCGCTATGCCTTCGTTAACACTTCCTTCCTCTACAAATTAGTAATGTTTCGGGTTCTTTCTTCTGCCTTCGGTTGTTTGACTTGGTGAAAGTGTATTTGTCAAAATGACATTTGAAATTCTAATCTTTTGAAATCATCACAGAGATCATTCGTATCGCAATTCATCTATAAGGAGCGAATGCCCATAAAATGAGCTTTGAAATGATGTGCAGTAGCAGAATATTTGAAAGAAAGGCTTTTGCTAAAACATACAAGAAAGGTTCAATTATAAATCGGGCGTTAACTTCCGAACAAATTAAATGCAGAGATTAACTTTTGTTGGAGTAGAGCTGGCATATCAGTGTTGGATTTGCTACTGATAATAAAAAGGATCAGTCAACCGAACTTTTTTCGGTAAAATGGACAGCTGAAAGTAACATGCATTGAAATCAGTGCATACGCTAACTTCTCTGGTGAAAAGTATTTTGGGAGGCTAGATAAGATAGCAATTGATTAAAACAAGCTGTGCAAGAATTACATCTCATTGCATATATCCTTCTACTTCTGTTCAGCAAGCACGAGGTGCTATTTTATTTCTTTATTTACGCACAAGCTGACGTTTCGGCGGATTTCGCCTTCCTCAGAGCCTGGAAGAGTCAAGTTGATAGCAATCCACTCGGCCAAACACCTCCATAACCAAACAGAGAAAACTCTAAACCAAGATTTCAATCACATTTAGCATAGCTCTGCACACTCACCACTTTCTATGAGTCTTCCACTGAGTATATCGCGTGAAGACCGACCGCACAGAATTCACATGGAAGCGTAATGTGCCCCTCCCATCAGAATATCAGGTTTATATACTGTCCAATATCACGCGTGATAACGAGGCATTCCTCCCTGCGGTTCATTTTCGGATTCTTGGAATTTATCCAGAATGCCTCTAGAGTTTTGCGTGCTTGTGTTCTCGATTCTTGCGCGAGGATCGTAACCCTTACTTCAAAATCTTCTCCGTTATGTTTCTGCGTGCTATGCGTACCTAGTGGAGTACTTAGCTTACGTTTACCGACTAGGTGTTCTTTTATACGTACGGAGAGTGGTCTACCCGTTTCGCCAGCGTATTCGTCTCCGCACGCTTTACAAGAGATCAGATAGACTGTACCCGAACTCATGCAGTCACCGTCTCTACCATTGGGGCAAATTATGCAATTTTGCGTTGCACATAGACGGTCGTATAGGCGGTTACGAACTAGCTGGCGCCTTAGATTATTCGGTGGTATTTCGATTATCGTTACCGAATTCTCTAGGCTGGCCCTTCTTAAACAGCGTTTTATAGCTGCACTTACTTCATTTGAAATAAAGGGCAGTATAAACGGGACCTTGTTGTCACTAGAGTTACCATTGGGGTACCTGTGGTTTCCTCTACACCTATCTGGAGCTACGGTTTCGTAGCCATTAAAAATGGCTATTTGTCGCGCCAAATTCCGGGACTCCTCTATCTGTTGTCTCCGTGTGCACACGCTGGTAGCCGTTCGATACATGTTTCTCACAAGCGCCGTTTTCGTGTGAGAGGGATGAGAGGAGAGGTAATGAACTAGGATGTTTTTACTACTTGGTTTTCGATACCACTTCATAATGTAGCCGTTTTCTGATAGGCTAATTTGCGCGTTCAGAAATGGAAGCCAGTCTTCTTTTGGTTTCTCTCGGGTCAATTTAATATACTCTGACTGTGTGTTCAACAAGTCGAAACATCTGTCGATTTCTTCTTGCGTTGAACAAATGACCAAGCAGTCATCTATATATCTACAGTAGAGTAACGGACCAAGGTCGATTACTGGCGCTTCTACCTTAGACATGAATGCAATGGCAAGGCTTGGAACCAGTCGTTGTCCCATTGCCAGCCCTCTCATTTGTG